TTGGTCTGGAGTGGGGGTGGAGTCCACAAAGCCTGTATGGGATTAGCGCAGGACATCCTTTCCCCCTAACAAAATCCCCCTTCAAGGCCCTGAATGGCCACATCACCTGCACAACAGGTAGTGATGCCTCAGCCCCCATACGTGGGCCCAGGCCCAGGCAGCATCTCAGACCCCATGAGAAATGCAGAGCCCCAGGCACCACACAACCCACTGGGTCAGAACCTGCACCCCAGGAGACTTGGACTCAACTCTTCCCTCCTGCCTGCTAGACCTGGCATGGGGAGGGGGATGTCAGCCCCAGCAAAGTTTACAATACATTCTCCAAATTATATTCTAAGTCCACGGAAATAAAACGCACACACATCTATGGAACAGAACGGAGAGCCCAGAAAACACATTCCGGGGATTGATCAGTGCAGCAGGGAGGAGCAGGGAGCAAACACGGGGCATGCGCTTTCATTCAGGGGCGCTGGGCACCCACAGGGTCACACTCAGGAATGTCCTGACCCCCATGTTCCTCCAGGACCCAAAATGACCCGCGCAGAGCTCTCTACAGCCAGCCCGCCCAGCCCTGGGTCCCCTGACTCACTGCTCTGCAGTCAGCAGGGAGATGTCCTTACCTTTCCCTTGCTCTGGGGTGGTTCCTGAAGAAACTGGGTTCTCACAGGCCAGGACTTCACCCCAAGTCCAGAGAAGCAAGTGCCAAGGCGAGCCCCGCTACTGGGGAGGCAGGAGCCAGTGTTGGGGCAGGGAGGGGGCTGCAGGGGCAGGGGCGGGGTTGCAGGGGCAGCAGGGGCAGGGGGTGCAGGGGTGGGGCTGCAGGGGCTGGGGCGGGGCTGCGGGGAGGGGCGGGGCTTCGGGGAGGGGGTGGGGCTGCAGGTGCGGGTGCAGGGGGGCGCGCTCCAGGGCCAGGGGCAAGCGGGAAAGCCCCGGGGCGCTCACGGGGGCGCCCTCGCCCGTCCTGCTGCGGATGAAGTTTACAAAATCAAACGGAAACGGAGGCGAAGAGCCCACATCTCTGAAAATGCTATTAACCTAAAATTTTAGCAGCCATTAAAACAGCAGATCGTGTCCATGTGCATTAAAGACACGCTGGGGAACACTGACCCGCGGCCACAGAGGGCCCCCCCAAGCCCTCTGCCCCACCCCCCCACAGTGAGAGAACGGGCGTCCCGCTCCGCCCGCCCCGGCCTTGCCCGCCCCGGTGCCTCCTCATGATTCCCCGCGAGACCGCATTTCCCCGCCTCACCACCAGGCGGCGCGCGCTCCCCCCCCTGCTTTGCCCCCGGGGCTTCTCCTTCCTCAGCCCCCGGACCCGCTCCGCCGGGGCGGGCGCTCCTGGCGTCAGTGGCTCCGCCACTTTTGCTCCAGCCACCACGCTCGCGTCAGCGCGCAGGGACGGGACGTCCACACGCAGGGGGCGGGGCAAGGCTGAGGAAGGAGAGGCTCGCGGGGTAAACCAGGGGCGGAGCAGCGGCGCGCGCCGCCTCGTGGCGCGGAGGGGCGGTGCGGCCGAGACGGGACACTGGCGGGAGGGAAGGAGCCTCTGCTGAGGGGGGGCTCAGCCGGGCCAGGGCGGGGACACAGCCCGGAGAGTCATAGGGCAGCGGGAGGCCCGCGCAGAGGGGGAGCAGGAAGCCGGAGTGTGTCATGTCACAGCCCTGAAGATGGGGAGATAGAATGACGTGGGGGCAAGAACCTGCTGAAATAGGGATCCTCGCTCATTCGGAGAAGAAAACAAGTTGGTATCGCCCTTCTGAATCTAGCTGTTAGCATTTGGGATATTATATATGTGTGTGTCTGTATTAAAAGAAATAGTAATTCAGGTTTTGAGACATGACCTAAGGAAACGCTTTGACACACATACACTTTGTAAAAATGCTAACCAGCATTTTCTCATACTTACAAATACTGGAAACAATCTAAGTCAAAACTCTAGGAAATAGGGGCCTCCCCGGTGGCGCAGCGGTTGAGCGCTGGGTTGCGAAGCTGCCCGCAGCCTCTGCAGCGCCGGTTCGATCCCCAGATGCTCCCCGGCCACCGAAGGAGGGTCCCACAAGGCGCGCAGACCTCTCCTGCCGCCCACTGCTCCCCTCAGCAGTGTGCTTCGGTCCCTCTGTCTGCTCTGCTCCCCACTCTGGCTCTGGTGAATTCTCTCACCCTCCCGCTCTTCTGACTGTACCCAGTGCTTGTATGTATGTATAAATAAATAAATCTTTAAAAAAAAAAAAGTTGCTGGTTTGCAATTTAAAAAAAAACAACTCTAGGAAACAGCGAAATATAGTACACTATGTACATGAAACAAATGTAGCAATTCATTCTGAATAGTTTTAAATGAGTTAGAAAATACTTGTATTATGTTAAATGAAGGAGGAAAGATAGATTGTAGGCATAGCATTATTCCAGATATAAAATGAACATAATAGGATTGATTTAAATTTTAAATACCAGACAAAATGGAAAATCATGTGTTCGGTATGCATTTAGTGATACACACTTAGGTGATGAACTGTCATGAAGGGCAAGGGAAATAATTATGACAGCCACATATTCCTGCTTACTTGGGGAGGAAGATTATGGTATAGTGTGGTCTTAGGATTCTTCACCCAGTTAATGGGAGTTCATTTTGTAATTCTAAATTTTCACCTGTATAGTCTCTGCCCTTACTGTAAACACGGGTATTATAGTTCATAGTTCAAAATATTGGAAATTATGAGTAAGTAAGCTAATTCTTAAAATTATCTATTTTTAAAAGATGTATTTATTTTTATGCAAACAAGAACTGGGGTCTAGGGCAGAGGAGCAGGAGGTGAGAGGATTCACCAGAGACAGAGTGGGGAGCAGAACTGGCAGATGGACTGAAATCCACGGCTGAGGAGGGCAGCAGGGAGACTGGGAGGTCTGCTGCGACCTGTGGGCTGCTCCTGGCCCGCGGGGGGTGGGGGGGCGACTCGTGCTGCATGGGCTGGCCAGAGCTGGGGATCTCCATCTGCATCCCCCTGCCCCCCACCCCCGGAGGCCCATGTCAAGACCTGAAATGGTCCCCAGTTCTCACGGGGAAGCTGAGCACGACCTGAGCTGCCCTGGGGATCACGATGAAGACACCGAGCTCAGGGCAGCGTCCTCCTGCCCCCGGGATGGAGCGGGGGCCGCTGACGCCCAGTTCCCCCCAGCGCGGGCAGCGGGTGCCAGCCCCGGCCAGAGCCTCTGCCCAACTGCCCTCAGCAGAGGCAGCGCCGCTCAAGGCCCCGCCCTGCCCGCGACCCTGAGACTCCAGGGGGGGCTCCAAGCAGAGAGGGGGGGCCCGCCCGCTGATGTCTAGCTGCTGCATCTCCAGGACTCCCCAAACCCTCCTAGCACCCCCTGGCCCTGGCCACACGAGCCGGGGGGTAGAGGGACACCTGCACCCTCCGCTCGCACTCACACCCCCAGGGTCAGGCTGTGCCCCCAAGACGCCCTAGGCGGAGGGGCAAGGTCACTCAGGGAGGACACCCCCTGTAGCCACAGACAAGCGATGACCGCGCCCCCTGCCAAAATCTCAAAATAGGCCGGCGCGCAAGCCCTGGGCAACCCGCATCACTGAAGGGGAAGAGGCCTCACCTGGCCCAGAAGCGCTGAGAAGCCCCAGGCTCCGCCCCAGGTGAGCCAGAGCCACCCACCCGACTGCGCAGGCGCAAGTGACATTTTCAGAACCGCCGGTAGGGGGCGCACCCCTTGGGGGGGGCCGGGGTCCTCCACCCCCATTCCCGGGACCTTATCTCCAGCGGCGATGCTCTGGTTGTTCCCCTTCGCTCCTTGCTCCCTACTGCAGCCTTTATTATCTCAGCCCCCAGCCTCAGGTGCCCGCGCGAGCACGCCCACCCCTTCCCCAGGCGCTCACCCGCAGGCCGCCGAGGCGAAGCCCACACTCCCAAGGCCCCCAGTTTTCCCAGCTGCAGGTTGCCACAAAGGCGTTTGGCGCAAACCCCAAAAGGAAGCAAGCTTCCCGTAGCCCTCCTTCCACCCCGCCGTTTGCTGTCTCTGGACGGTCCCCACCTGGCTTCTCTTGGCCACGGGACCCTGCGGCCGTGGCCCGCACAGCCGAGCGGCGCAACCGAGCACCACATCACCGCAGACGCAGCGGAGACCGTCCTTAAGACAGGGCGCCCCCGAGGGCGGAACGAGGCGCCCGGGTGCGGGCCCCGCCCATGGTCGCTCCCGACCGCCCCCCACAGCCCCGCTCCCCGCAGGGGAACCGCCGCTCAGTCTGGGCGCCTCCGCGGTCCCGTGCCGGGGCGCCCGGCTCCGGCCTCTCGGGGCTGCGGGCTCAGCGCCAGCCACACCCCAAACCCCACCCCCAGCTGCGCGCACTCTGAGGTCTGAGACACTCAGCTCTCTTGGGGTGACCGCGCAGCCCAGGGGTGCTCACTGCCGTCCCCGCCGCTCCAGGTCTCGTCACCCCGCGGCCGGCGGCCCCCGCGCCAGGCCCTGGAGACCAGCTCCCCGCGGGCGCCCCACAGGCCACGTCCCCCGCCGCCCCGGAGGCTCCTCCGCCCTCACCCTCAGGCTCCAGCCCCGGGCCTCGCCCACAGGTGCCGCGAGGAGGCGCAGCTGCTCCTGGAGCCCCGCGGCTCGCGCCCCACGGGCAGGGCTCCGGCCTCGGCGCCCGCCTTGGCTGGTCTGAGCGGCTTTTTGAGACTCTCCCGCCTGCTGCGGAAACCGTCCCCCCGCCCCACGCCGCTTAAGGCACCCCGACTCTCCTCTCCGGGGGCACAGTGGGGCCCCTCGCTCCCCCTGTCCCCGGCGCCATGAGAAGGCGCCCCCCGCCCCGTCCCGAGCCTCTGGCGTGGCCGTGAGCCCCCGCCCTCCGTGGGGTGCGCCGGGGAGCGGGTGGGTCCCCGCCGGCAGCTCCCTCCCTCCCCGCAGGCCTCCTCCGGCAGCTCCCGGGCCGCGTCCGCCTTCTGGGGGCCCGCGGCGCCTCCAGGGTCGTCCCCTCCCCACGGGCAGAGCTTGGGGGACGCTCACCCCAGCCCTGCTCTGAGCCGGGCTAAGTCCGTCCGCGGCGCCCCCGGCGGGTGCACCGTCCCACGTGGCGCCGGGTCCGGGGGCCGCAGAGAGGAGCCGCGCCCCTCGCTCCTGCCCGAGGCCTTGGGAGGCCGCGTGCCCGTCTGCGCCGGGTCCTGCCGCCCGGGCCGGCCGTGGGGCGGCTGCGGGGCCGGCTCCGGGGGCTCCGGGCACACGGGCAGAGGGTCCTGGGGCTCCCGGGGGCTGGCTTGGGACTTTCGCGTTCTCCCCGACAGCGCAGCTCGGCGCCCGGGGGCACGGCGGGCAGGAGGCCCCGGGGAGAGGCTCCCGGCCCCTGCGAATCCAGACTTTCGGGGCGGGCCGGGGGCGGAGGGGCCGGGATCCGGGGTGAGGTGAGGTGGGGGCTGCAGGGCGGGAGGGCGGAGGTGGAGGGGCCGGGATCCGGGGTGAGGCGGGGGACCGCAGGGCGGGCAGACCCCGGGGCATCTGGACTCTCCTGGGCTCTCGCTGGCGTTCCCGCGAAGTCGGGTTCCCTCTCGCTGCTGCAGGGCAGGAGCCCGCCGGCTCGCGGAGTCGCCCCCTTATATGCGCCGCCCTGCGCCCCAGGTGTGCGCCCTCCAGGCCCCAGCGCCTGCCGCGCTCCAGGCCCAGGTGATGCCGCAGAGGCCCCGGCGCCCGAGCCTGAGCGGCTGTCTGGAAGCCACAGACCCCGGCTCTGGCCCTGAGCCCCCCACCGTGCGTGCCCTGGATCTGCTGGGGGCCGCCCCGCAAAGGATCGCAGTGTCTTGTGTTTTTCGGGAGAGACCTTGAGAAATTAACTGACTTAACAGTGACTTGAAATGCACAGAAACTTTCAGGGCAGCTCAAGTGCTCTCTGTCTTATGCTGAGATTCCTGCTTTACCGTATATTTAACTTCACATGAAACATTCCATGTGTTTTCATCACAACATTCCGTTTTGTAGTTAAGCAAAATATTCCAGGGATCTAGCACATCACCCCCCAAAATAAATCATCTTGGTTCCCATCATCTTGGTTCCCATGTTAGAATCCATTTCAAGTGTCACCGCCTGCTCCAACTGGGTGAGATCATCTTCCATTTGATCGACTTTTCTCTTTGGCAGCTGTTCCTGACGCTGCTTCTCGTTTTCACAACCATGAGGGGTTTAGTGTGTGCTCCAGCCTGCACTGTGGGGTGGCTTTTCTTTTTTCAAAGATTTATTTATTTATGCATACAAGAACTGGGGTACAGGCCAGAGGTTTGGGGTTTCTGAGAGGGCTCACCACAGAGTGGGGAGCAGAAGAGGCAGATTGACTGAAATACACGGCCAGGAATCGAACTTGTGCTATTGTGGCTGCAGACAGCTCCACAGTGTGCGACTTAACCCCTTGTGCCACCAGGGAGGGCCAATAAATCAATCTTTAAAAATAAAAAATTTAACAGTATGCTGTAACCCGAGCTCCAGAGACTTCAATGGGCGTATTGTTTACTGGGCATGTTGTTGAAACACTGATTGTGAATCACGAATCCTGCAAAAAATGAGAAACCTAGAGAACAGTATCCTTAAAACTTTGCGGAGGTTGCTTCTTTCAGCAACTACATTTCAAACACCACTAAACAAAAACAACGTGACGCAATTTAGGAAACACAAGCGCAGAAAGTATTTTACAGTTTCATGAGAATCCCACCCGCCCTGAAAAAGACAGCCAGAACCTTAAGATGGAAAGAGCCATAATCAACACAACTGAAAACAGTAAAAGTAAAACCGCAGACCGAAACTCTTACTTTAGTCACAGATAACCAGGGGAGAGCGCGAACGCAGTCCCCCACTACCACAAATTATGCAGTCGAGTTTCCCACATTTGGGGAAATCGCAGGGGTCAGCACACCCGGAGTGCAATAGGTAAGCCTCACCCTGGGAAAACCACCTTCGTGATCATGGTATCTCCCCTGCCAGGTAAGTATGAGCTGCTCGCCCCGCCGACACCCGCAGCCCGCCCCTCGCCTCGCTCTTCACACACGGTCGCTCGCCTCGCGCCGCCCGCCCGCCCCGACGCCCGCGACGGCCCTCGCCCTGACCTCGCCCCGACCTCGCCCGGCCCGAAAGCGCTCCGGGGGGCACGGGCGCCCCCACACCAGCTCGCGCAGGGCCCAGCGCAGCAGGCCCAGCCTCCTCCGCGCGCTGCTCATCTACATACGCCACGCCCCACATGCGCGTGGTCGGGGTGCTTTCCACAACGGTGCTAGGAAAGTGGAGAGTACCCGGGGCGCAGCGGTTGAGCGCTGGGCTGCGAAGCTGCCCGCTGCTTCTTCAGTGACGGTTCGACCCCACAGGTTGCGCAGACCTCTCCTGCCGCCCGCTGCTCCCCTCAGCAGTGCACTTCGCTCCTTCTGCCTGCTCTGCTCCCCGCTCTGGCTCTGGGGAATTCTCTCACCCTCCCGCGCTTCTGACTGTACCCTGTGCGTGTATTAAAAAAAAATAATAATAATAAGTAGAGAGTACCCAGGCGAAGTCCTGGACTCTCCCAACTAAAATTGAACGTTAGGGGCCTCCCTGGTGGCTAAAGGGGTTAAGACGCAGCACTATGAAGGCACCTGCAGCCACCTGATCCCTGGGGCCAGGGAGCAGCCCACATGGCGCAGCTCTCTCCCCTGCTGCTCCCCTCAGCGATGTATCTCCGTCAATCGCCAGTTCTCTTCCCCAGTCTGTCTCTGGCCTGTACCCCAGTTCTTGTATGCATAAATAAATAAATCTTTAAAAAAAAATAAAATTAGATTGAAGGGCCTCCTGGGTAGCACAAGGGGTAAAGACGGGGCACTATGAAGCAGTCGGTACCCTCTGCAGCACAAGTTGAATCCCGGCCAGGCATCTACCCACATGGCACAACAGACCTCTCCTCACTCGCCCGCTGCTCCCCTCAGCAGTGTATTTCAGTCAGTCCATCTGTTCTGCTCCCCGCTCTATCGCTGGTGAATCCTCTCACCTCCCCCCTCACCTCTGCCCTGTACCCCAGTTTCTGTATGTATATAAATAAATAAATATAAATAAATAAATATAAATAAATAAATTTTATTTAAATCAATAAATATAAATAAATAAATAAATAAATTTTGTATATAAATAAATAAATTTTTAAAATTAAAAAATAAAATTAGATTGTAGAGTTTGTTTTTCTTGCAGTTTATTGCTAACCTTTCCCCACTGAAAATCACAGTTTTTCCGGCTAGTCATCTCTCTGAGTGAGTATTTCATTTGTTTACATTTTCTTTGCCCATGTGGTCTCCGGAAGGTTAGTCAGGTTTGGTAGACAGTATGTTTTTCTAGACATGCCGTGTTCCCTATGCTGTCAAGTGGGAAGAAGTGCAGGAGCATGCGCAGTATGCAGTCTTTCAGGAAATCAATACACACGCTCTTCATTTTTTTTAAGATTTATTTATTTATGCATACAAGAACTGGGGTACAGGCCAAAGGTGTGGAGGGGTGAGAGGATTCACCAGAGACAGAGTGGGGAACAGAACAGACAGACTCACTGAAATACACTGCTGAACTGTTTACAATAGCTAAGCTTTGGAAACAGCCCAAATGCCCAAAAATAGATGACTGGATCAAGAAGATGTGGTACATATATACCATGGAATATTACTCAGCATTCAAAAAAGATAAACACATGCAATTTGCAGCAACATGGATGGCGCTGGAAGGGATCATGCTCAGCGAAATAAGCCAAAAAGAAAAAGAAAAATACCGGATGGTCTCACTCATAGCAGGAATCTAGAAAACTTAAATAAGGGACCAGGAAAATGAATATAAGAAAGTGAAAATCAAAATCAACCAAAAACTATGAACCAGAGACACTTTTGGGGGGTGGGGGGCGGGAGGGGAAGGATTGGGGTCAGAATGGGGCATTTGCAATTGTATGGGGGAATATAAAAATAAAATTTAATATTAAAAAATAAATAAATAAATAAATAAATAAATAAATAAAAAAGAAATACACTGCTGAGGGGAGCAGCGGGGGACTCAGGAGAGGTCTGCTGCACCATGTGGGTTGCTCCCTGGCCGGCCAGGGATCGAACCTGTGCTGCAGAGGCTGAGGATTGCTTCATGGGTTGCATCTTAACCCCTTGCGCCACCAGGGAGGCCCTAAATCATTACATGTTTTTTTTTTTAAAGGCATTTTTTTTTTATTTATTTGTTTTGTTTGTTTATACATGCACTGGGTACAGTCAGAAGCACGGGAGGGTGAGAGAATTCACCAGAGCCAGAGGGGGGGGGGGCGGCAGAGTAGGCAGAAGGACCGAAGTACACTGCTGAGGGGAGCAGCGGGCGGCAGGAGAGTTCTGTGCGCCATGTGGGACCCTCCTCCGGTGGCCGGGGAGCAGCCAGGGATCCAAAGGCGCCTCAGAGGCCATGGGCAGCTTCGCAACCCAGCGCTCAACCGCTGCGCCACCGGGGAGGCCCTAAATCATTACATTTTGAACTAGGTTCTGTTTACAAAAATTTTAGATCTCCATCTCAAAAATTGTTTCTTTTTTAATTAGAATTTATCTAGGCTCAATTTATAATAATTTTAACACAGCAACCCTCTGGAGACAAAAGACATAAAGGCAAAGACACAGACATAGAGATCTCTTTCATTTAGAATCTGGGCCACTTGCACTCATTTTTAGAGATAGTCATTTTACCAATATTACCAACAGCAGTAATTAATTTACTTTTAAATATTCGTTTTGAACTAACTCCTTCAGATATGAAAACATTTTTCAAGTTATATTTGTATAATGCCCCTAGGTTCTAAAGATAGTGGGGCAGAAAATTCCCTATCACTTATTATGGCCACCTTTTTCCTAAAGTCCCTAGAAGAGTTTTTGGATGAGTGGACAGTTTGACCAAAACTACATCCCTTTTCAATACGAAGACAGACTAATTCCTAAAACAACTTACGTTTTTCAAGTTCAGTCGGTATAGCCATTTAAGTTGTTTGTTTGTTTGTTTTTGGTAATCAAGGAGGTTTCTAATATGAGAGGGAAACTAAAGTCCTTACATGTTCTAATAAGTATCCCATTTCAATCATTTTAAAACCTCTAGAGCCCAAGATTGGAATTTTAAAGACAAGCATAGAAAATTCAAATTGCTTTGCAAAGTGCTGGTTTCTGTTTGACCTCAGAGGAGGCCTGGTCCTAGGCAAGATAAAAGATACCTTCTACCTGGGGCATGAGAAGGACAGGAGAAGAGACAGATTAAGATCTTACTTTGCATTTTGTTTGTTCTTAGACTCTTACCAGAAATTTGACAAGGAATATCGCTTACAGAAACCTACTATGTAGTTTTAGATGACTAAATTGATTATTTTAAATAAGAAACTTAGATTTTTAATGAAACCTGTCACTTTTAATGGCCAATA